GATCCTAGCCCTTAAGTCTCTGACAATGAGACAAACTATGATGAAGAACAGTATCCTCCTGCTGAGGATAAGTACAAACAACTGGAAGACCGTTTGAATGCTATGGAAATACAGAAGGTGTCCGGTCTGGACTTGGAGATCTAGGTCTATCCTCTGGGGTGGTGATTCCCCATAAATTCAAGGCACCTGCCTTTGCCAAGTACGACAGAGCTTTTTGTCCAAAGCTACACCTCCTGTCATATGTGAGGAAGATTCAACCCTATACTGCTGATAGAAATCTCTGGGTTCATTTCTTTCAAGATAGTCTGTCAGGGACTCAACTTGAATGGTTCTGTCAACTGGAAGGAGCTAACATCCACAACTGGGAGGACCTTGCTGCTGCTTTTTACAAGCAATACCAGTATAATTCCGACCTTGCTCCCACGCGTACTCAGCTTCAGGGTATGTCTATGGGTACAGGCGAAGGCTTTAAGGACTACGCTCAGAAGTGGAGAGATCTTGCTGGAAGAGTCCAACCCCCTCTGTCTAATAGGGAGTTGGTGGATATGTTTCTTGGGACTTTGTCTGGTCCCTATTTCAATCATTTGATCGACAACTCGTCAATGGGTTTCACCGAGCTAATTCTGACTGGAGAAAGAGTAGAAGCTGGGATCCTGAGTGGTAAGATCCAGAAAGATATTCTTTGAGTCACATGGCGATTTTTTCCATCACACTCTTTTTCAACTACATGCCATCTAGTATTCTTTGAGTCACTAACATTAGAAAAAAATATCTTGAACCTTGGAATTATTGGTAGGTAGCACATCACCTTGAAAGGAACACCCTTGCTAGTTGCACCATCATCGTCATTAATATCATTGTCCTTCTGTTTGTAGTGCGACACCCTACATCTCGGGCACTACTTCAAGTTTTCAAACTCTTTCCTGTATAAGATGCAATCATTACGACAAGCGTGTATTTTGACATAATCCAAACCCATTGGACACAATATCTTCTTGGCCTCATAAGTACGGTTTAGCAACGTGTTACCTTCAAGAAGCATTTCTTTCCACAATTCAAGCAATTCAATGAAACTTTTATACGTCCACCCACCTCTCGCCTTAAGATTAAATAGTCTTAACACAATTGACAATCTTGTAAAACCTTTACATCCCGGGTACAATGAATCTTCCATGTCTTATCGCAAAGTATCTACCATACTAACTTTATTGAAAGCATCTACTCCAATATCACAAATGATGCCTTCTAGACTATCAGTCATATATTCATCATCTTCAACTATTTGTGACAAAGGTCTCTTTTTTGTCCCTTCACCATGCCATACCCATTTCTTATAATTTTGAATAACTCTATCACAACCACAATGATTAAATATAACATCCCTTGAATGTTTATTCGTATTATAACATTTCATACAAAGACACCAAAAAATCCCATTGTTGTCAGGAAGGTTTTTTTTTTTGCGAAATCAATAAATTGTTTCAATCCATTCTCATACTCTCTACTTAATGTATTGGCTTTCATCCAAATGAGATCCATAATCACATAAAGCTTCTGAAAATAAAATGAAAAATAGTACAGAAATAAAGCTTCTCAATAACAACAACAACAGTAAAACAATGCAGGGAGAATAACAAGGACATACCGAGGAGCTCCTTGGAGAAGAAGTGTTCTTTTGTTAGGGCTCGAAAAATGAATTAGGGGAATCAAACATATATAAAAACTTTATCTCAGCTAAACTAAAAAACTGAGGTAGAATAGTTGACGTAAAATATATAAAAAATGAGGCGCCTTTTTGTTTGCCAAAGGAATAAAAAGTTAGGGAGTTTTTATCTCAGTTTTGGAAACAACCGAGGTAACATATCCGACGTAAAATCTTTAAAACATAATGGTACCTTTTTGATTCCATATAAAGCACTAAATAACAATAATTGGGAATCGAACCTCAAACCATGAACATTCAATTATGTCGGTTTTATTAAAACCCGAGGTAATAAGATTTATTTTTATTTTTTTAATAAAACAAAGCGCTCCATTCACATGTACCCACAGTTTTGTTTCATTAGTTGTGAAAGTTTTGTCATGAAAAGCGTTATTTGTTGTAGTGAGTTAATAGTTACAACAAATAAATAACTCTCAAATCTCTAACAAACTTTAAAACTACTTCTAACAACTTTCAATCTATCCCATCATCCCTTAACCGATTATCACAATCTAATGGCCAATAGTTCTTCAATTGTAACTAACTGCACCTTTAGCTGAAGCCTATATAACATAACCACCCTCAATCATTTTTCTGCCCACCATTTTTCTTCTAAACCCAGCCATTTTCTCACAAACCATCTTCTCAAATTCACATTCCATCATCACCAATCTTAAATTCTATCTCTCTCTAAATTTATCCTTCATCATCTCACTCACCATTTCTTCTCCACCAATCTTCACTCTCATTCTATCAATACTCTCTCACACTCTTCATCATCACCTTCACTCTCAATCTATACCTCTGCAACGCTTGTTCCACCTCACCCTCATCTCTCTGAATCAAGTTCTGTAGAGCTTCGAAGCTCTCTTCATACATCACCAACACTCTCAAATTTGCATACACAAGCAAGAAAGAAGAACATAGAAGAGTTGTAGACGGAGAAACACGAAGAAGAATGAAGAAAATCAAGCTGAAAGCGGGGCAAAAATGTACCAGATTCAAACGTCTTCACATGCACGTTTTCCTTCACTCTTTTGCTTCACTTTTGGTACGATCTTGTAAAGTGATATGTGAGGAGTAGAATCCCCCATGGAGTCGCATGCTGAAGCTCAACCTTGAGCGTTTAATTTAACTTTATGAAACCTAGGGTTCAGACCTATTTCCGTAGATTTAGAGCAAATGGATAAAAATTGGATGTAGAGAAGGTTGGATATGGAATGAAGGCGTTGATACGAGTTAGGCGCCATGGCTTTTGGACATTTTTGACACAAACCACCATGGGTGCCGCCAACGCGGTGGTGGAGGTTTGAAATTTTAGAATGAATGAAATTGGGAAAGAGAGGGAAGAAAGAAACGTTTAACCGTAAAATCCAACAAAACGCGATCGTTTGGCCCTTATTTCCACTTTTTATTTGTTTTAATTCACTAATAAATCATAAAATATAATGAACTTCAAAATCTGGAATATTGTTTGGTTTGGGCTCAATTATGATGGGCTTTGCCTCTTCAGACCCCTTGCCTGATCCATCACATCCTTGTTTTTCTTTAGTTTTTTCAATTAATTTCTTTAGTTTCTTGCATGATTTTTGGCTGAAATCATATATAAACGGGACAAAGTATTTGTTATCTCCAATCGAATCTACTTGGATAAAACCATACACATTTGAATATATGACTTCAAGAATTTCTTTCGACTTGCTTCCTACATCTTTACTGAAGCTATTCTTGTGTTGCTTTGTTTGAACACATTCTCACACACTTCATATGGAATATCGATTTTTTTTAATCCTGAAACCATGTTTCTTCTCTTCAGATTTCTGATGTCTTTGAAGTTGAGATGACAAAGTCCGTAGTGCAATAGCCAATCATAACATTTAGTTCAATCTTGAAGGTTCTGTTATGAGACATGAGTTCCTTTAAGGTTAATCTACTACCTGAGTCGAGAACTTTCATCGTCTTATCTTCGACCAACACTTTATAATTCTTCTCGATCAGTTGCCATATGCTGAGAAAATTACTTTTCATGTCCGGTATGTACGATACATTGGAAATTATTGACCTTTTGTCACCTTTCCTCATAATAATAACATCACCAACACCTTTAGTAGCTAGGGTATTGTCATTTGTGAATATCACCTTGTTCTTCATCGAGGGACTTATTTTGACAAACTAATTTTTCCTTCCAATCACGTGTGATGAGAAGCCTGAGTATAAGTACCATTGGTCCTTGAATCTTTGTTCATCTTTCATTGTGACCATCAACAATATTTCTTATTCTTTGTGTCTTGCAAGTCTTGCATCAGTTTCATGATTGTTTCTTTTGTTTTCAGGACAATCTCTAGCATAATGACCATGCTTCTGATAACTATAACATTGAATGTGACTCTTATCAGGTTTTCTTCCACCACCTCTTCCTCTACCTACAACACCATTTATGTGATTGCTTTGTTTTGAGGGTTTTCTTTGATTCGACGAATTTCCTTCTTGTTGGTTTCCTCTACCATTCGAATTGTTGTAACATCCTCTACCTCTATTGTCATTCCTTCTTCCTGTGCCTTTCTTTTCTTTTGCTCATTGCGCCTGCAGGGCTACATTAACTTTTGTCTTGCTTGCAGATCTTTCACTCATTCTTTATTCATGAGATTTAAGAGTCTTTTGAAGCTCTTCTTTTGTCATCCATGACAAATCTTCCAATTCTTCTATGGCTACTATCACATAATCTTTATTCATGGTTATTTGTGTTTAGATGCCAATTTTATCTGTTCCCTTCTGTATTGGTGGAGGCATATGTTATGCCTATGTTTATTCAATTTCTTTTTGCTGTTCCAAAAAAATAATGAGAATTATTATACTCTAAACACACACGAGTATTTAAAAAGTCAAACCATTGTTGACAAAAGACTTAAAGCATAAGTAATCAAATTAAAATAGATAATCATACATAAAATGAGTTTTCAAATATTTTTGTTCCACTCAAGATTGTGAAAAGACACATTATTGAAAGCCCTAGAATTCATACCAACAAACAAGAAAATGAAATAAAATCAGCACCAAAACATGCAAGTTTCTGAAAATCCCATGTCCTAGTTTCCTTTATTCTGAAATCTAAACACCCTTATTCTAAGTTTTGTATTACAACAAATATGAAGGCTACAACAGCATGACCAGCTACTCTTGTGAACACCAAATATAGATCATGCACATGCTTCAAATGGATGTTCTGCTACAAACTCCGTTACAGTTACGGCCGGGTCGAGGAACCGCTACTGTAGTAATGCTGCCCCATGAAACATCATCAAGCGGGGCGAGGAACCGGCTTCTGTAGTAACGCTGCCCCGTTAAACATCATCAAGCGGTACAATCTCGTAATAAAATTCATCTGCAATGAGAACGGTAGCTTGTTTAACAAGTAATAATAAATAACCAATGATGCTTCATAACAAACTTCAAAAATTTGCTCACCTCATCTTCATCTAGCGCCATAAACCCGAATTTCCCAGTCCATAACGATTCGGCTTCATGAGCAGCCGGTAAAAATAACCGTCCCACTTTTAACTCTCCAAGCATGCCCTCGATGCAGGCAAGCAGGGCTTGGAAGTAACCCTTAAAAAAAACAATAACATTTTCTTGTATCAAAATATTTCAAATAATTGTTTGAATTTAAAAACTCAAGGGAAAGTAACTGACCTTTCCTTGGCTAGCTGCATTAGTTGCAACTAATGGAAGCTCCGCCACTTTCCTCCCAAACAAGCGGAATGTCCCCGCGCATACAACCACTTGGCTGTAAAAACATAAAATACAAACCAAAATCAATAACTTTTCAAACTAAACATGCAATTAATAACAAAAGATACTCCGAACTTGGTCTTACTTGACAGTGAGCACTGCACAATACATTCCACCAAAATATTGATCTTTGACTGTCCTCCTATGGAAATCCAATCGAAACAAAGCAAATTCCATTCACATGATCAGAAATGTCAGTACAAGAAATCTTAATCAACATACAAAAAAATGTATATGCTGCTTACCCATAAAGCATCGATGGAATAAAATCTGCGCCTGTTTCAGCATCCACTATGGGATCAAATTGTTCCTGAACATCACATATATCAGTCATTAATAAAATCTCACAATCCAGCGGATCGAATTTATCAAGAAAACTATAACTATGTATATACTCACATGAAAGATAGCAACAGCCTTCGAAAGCAACGCCCTGATTTCTTCAGAAGCAAGCAACTTCCAATTAAGAATCCTCCATTTTACATCAAGACCAGAATCAGTTTCTAAACCTTTTTCTTCATGCTTCTTTTTAATCAAACTTAGGAGGGAATCTGAAACTGGCAAATCCCCGCGAATCACTAAATTTTGCAAAAAAGTCCGAACTTGAAGACAATCCGAGCCGCAGAACCAGTCCTCTTTAGGTAATTTCTGGTAAAAATTAAAAAACTCTTGTATTAACAATTGTATATAGTAATGAAAAAAACACAAATCAAAATAAAAAGAGAACATTTTGTACCTCTAGGTTAACTATCTTATGATCCTTCAAACACCCTATGTGATATTCCTTATTACACTGCAATGACATACCAATGTCATACCAATATACTCAGTAATTTAATCAAAACATATAGTGATGTAAGATTTAAAACAATGATCCGAATTCGCCTGAAGCAATCAATACCTGGTCACAAATAATTACTGTCCTAGGACCAAAATCTACTAGCTCGAAATCATCTTCCCTAAAACATTGAACGCACGTTGAACAAGTTGAAGAATTTCTTTAAAGTTGATCAAGAACACAACAACAATACTAAAAAAATGAAAAATGTTGTGTACATAACAACTACCTGCACAGTTGACATCCTCCTTCGACAACCTCGGTATCATTTACCGTAAGGGGGCCTCTCTGGGTTGTCTGTCCCAAAAGATCAGACTCTGCAACCTTTCTAGTTGCCCGAGCATTTTCCTTACGCTCTTCATGTCTTTCTTTAAGGTTTACATTATGACAGCAATATTTGCAGTACCAAATGCAACCCGGTTCGGATTCAAGAGGGACGCATTCTGCAATAATAAAAAAATTATAAGTTTGTTATTCTAGCTCTTGTTTAAATAAATAAATAAAGTAGTAAAGACTTCACCTAAGTGAAAAGTTCTTGGGCATCCGTCACAGCATAAAAGACTTCCTCCTTGTTCACAAATACTGCAGCGACCATCGCTATCGGCATTCATAGAAATTATCTGCTTTTTCAACACGGAAATGGATAACTGATGTAGTGAGACTCCATCTGCGAATATGTGCAGGTAACTGCAACAAAAAAGCACCGGTCAATTCCCAACACCCAACACGTGTTGTATGAGTGTCAGTGTCAGTGTCAGATACTACTGACGCGTAGTAACCAACATCTATTAATACAAGTTAAAAGAAAAACTCACGGCTTGCGTCGGGATGCCCAGCCAGCATGTGCTTCAAATGTAGAAGGGCTAACCTGATCATCATCAAAAAATGTATTCAGAAAAAACGTGTAAGATGTTTACTTGAAGCCGATAAAATTTACTATATGACAAGAAAAAGTACCACTTTGTTACAGCAACTACACATAATTCCATAGTTCTTTTTGTTTATTTTACCATCCAATAGTCTCTGATAACACAATAAAAAAAATCTTCAGCAAAGTTTAGAGTGAAAAAAAAATGTAAACGTAAGAACAAGTCATTATCAAAGCAACCTCTCCACGAGCAATGTATGTCACATCAGCTTCATCTTTCAATGCTTCAAAAACCAACTTATGTAAGCCTTGGTCCCTTTGAAAATTTTAAACATAATAAATAACATGGCATGTTAGTAAATGAACAAAAAAAAAACTTTAAACTCATGTAAATGTTGACTCACTTCCTAGTTATTTTCCCCTGACTCTTATCACTAGCTGCGCTGTATTTCATTCCTTTATATAATGTCTTTTCAGGCTCAACTGGTTCCGGGGTCCTGAAATAATCAGAACTTAGATTGAATTATCCATCTTCTCAACTGAATTAACTATATTTTTACACGTGATTAACTCAATGTCATGCAAGTATAACAAAATACCCGGATATAACCGCTGCTGGTGGTGGTGGTGGTGGTGGTGAAACACAGCTATTAGTAATCTCGGTCATAGGAGTTGGGTTAGGTTGGCATGAGTCGCAGAACAGGTTCGAGACAACATTAACATCTTGAAAAATAAACAATATATTTCAAAATCACACGTTAAACTTTCCGCAATAACCATGCAATAACCATGCAAACGCAATGAAAATGGCGGGAAACTAAACATGAGTTACATTACAAACCTCTACAGTTCAAACAGAACTTCGATTTTTTCATAGTAAAGTCCCCGAGAACAGCACAAACAGATTCCTCCATTTTGTCCAAAGGACTGTTCAAAAATGCATTCATCACAAAACGAACAGAATTCCCATTTTCAAGGAAAGTATACTCAGGAGGACGTTTGTTTGCACTTCCAGCATGAACCTCAAATACAGCAGGGCTCACAACCTACTCTCACCAAAACAATTCAAACATGTAAAAAAACAACATTGTTTAGTTACACATAAAATGTATCTTCATTCACTTACCTTTTCTCCCTTACAAATATCACAATAACACTCAATTCCTTCGCCTTTTATCACTCCCAGTAGCGCTTTATCTCCGGGTTTTCGCACCTACAAAAGGAAAATACTTAGACACAGAAATATACATACATATCAAACCTCTAAAGTTAGTTAAAAATTATTTTTAAAATTTGTTATAGGTATATATTTATTCTTTTTATTTACTATTTGAAATTTATTTTTCATATTCTTCATCTCTTAGTAAAAAAACTCTTTTCAAAGTTTTACTGGCATAAACTATTTTTTTAAAATAAAAAGACCACTATTAAATTCATAAGTATAAAATATAAAATGGTTTTTCTTTTTTCTATGGTATACAAATTTATTAAGACAATAAATTTTTTCAATACTTTAAAGTTTGTAGATATCTTATAATAAAAGACAAAGGAAATATTTATTTATATATTAAAAATTTTAATATTCTTTTAATAAAAAATATTATTATGATAAAAAGTATTATTTTTAAATTAGATTAACATATAAAATATAATATATTAAAATAAAATATCTTATAATAAAAAATTAAAATAGGTTAATGCAATATATAATATTAATAAAAAAATTATTATTAAAATATATGTAGTAAAAGTAAATACTTGAATATGTATTAAAACATATGTATAAAAATTTTATTAAAAATAAAATACATTCAATGATATTTGATTCCTACGATATTTTTGACCAGTTTTAATTTTAACACCGTTAAAAATATACTATTATTCATTTATAATCTCTATAAAAAATTTCTTCAAACCATAACTTCCAAATATTTTTCTTCACCAAATTTCATATGACAACAAATTTATGTGGAAATAAGTTTCATTTTCCCTAAAGAGAATAATAGTTATTCACAATTAATAATGTAAATATTTTATATATGCACCCAATCAAATCACTTTAAAGTGACATTTAAAAAAATTTATTCTGAAAATATTTTCAAAACATCTACATGGAGTGGTTAAAATGAAAAAATGGTATATTTATAAGATGTAAAACTTATTTAACCTTTATGGTAAAAATAATTTTTAATTTATTATTTCATATCTATATATACGTCTTAGACGGAGTCACCCGATCCATACGAATAAACCCGATTCTTTTGGGATGAGAATTCAAATTCAAATCCCTAATAAGAACCCGATCCATACAGAAAAACCCGATCCATACGGAATGAAAACACAAATTCCAATCCCGAGAAGAACTAGATCCATGCGGAAAAATCCTATCCATGCGGGATGAGAACCAAGATTCCAATCCCAATGAAGAAGGAGATCCATGCGGAGAAACCCTCTTCATCCATGCGAGATGTAAACACAATTTTCAACCCCGATGAAAAGCGAGATCAATGCGGAGAAACCCTATCCATACATGCGGAATGTAAACACAATTTTCAATCTCGATGAAAAACGAGATCCATGCGGAGAAACCCCTAATCATCCATGCGGGTGAAAACACAATTTCCAATCTCGATGAAAAATGAGATCCATGCGGGATAAGAACACAAATTCCAATCCCTATGAAAACGGATGTAGATTTTTTAGGGGAGGCTAAATCCACCCTATTTCCATGTCTCCATGGCTATCTCATATTGCATTACTGAAAAGAAGAAAAAAAAGAACAAGTATATAAGACATTACCCTGATGCCACGAACATATTTCACGTTTAATCCATCCAGAATCCTCGAGTCTAGCAGGTCCTTCAGCTTAGAGGGGAACTTCTTGAAGTTGCGAAAAACAGGTTTGAACTTTTTCACTTTCGTTGACACCTTCAAACCGCGATCTCTACTGGTCTCCCCAATTTCACGATCAGGTTGATATATTTCATCTATTGCCTCAACCTTCAAATCCTCCACTTTACTTCTAGCATCTTCTTCACTCGAAACACCATTCACAACGATATTTTCAACATCATTTGTTGTCCTGTTAGGTCCAGGAACATGAACCACATTCCGGTTATTTCTTGGCCTGGTTCGATTGAGAGATGTCGAACCACGGCAGATCTGTGAGTGAGTCTCATAGGCGCGACGAAACTCTCTTTGATAACCCAGACGAACCTTAGACACATCAACATACTTCTGAGAATCAGAGCTCTTTGCCATTGATACGTGAGAAATGGTTCAATCAATGAAAAATGAGGGGTTTCAAAAACTGAGTATAGTTCAGAAATTATTTTGTGACAAAGTGCTTGCACTCTGGATGGAAAAATCAGGTGAATGGTGATGAAAAATTAGGGTTTGAGAAGAAATTGGTGGAGTTCAGAATTAGATTGAACAAAAGAATTGAAGTAAATGGGACAAAGTTTTGCTATTAAGAATAGGTTATCTTTGAAGAAGGAGAAGAGGTTCCTTCTATTGAATAACAAAAGTGACCAAAATATTACAATATATTTTTGTTTGTATATTTTTTTGCACAAGAATCCCTAGTATATATAGAGGTCTATAATGTATAAAAATATTAAAAGTGTAATTATTTAATATATATATAAAATTTAATTCATTTACTTTATTTAATTTAATAGTAATTTTTATTATTATTAGGAAAAAAAATTCTAGATTTTGTTGGTGAACACTCACATACCCCTAAATTTTGGTTAGGTACCTATGTATCTTTTATTCATTGAATTTCATGTATTTTTTTATAATAATTTATTTTAAAGTAAATTAAAATTTTCCATTTTTCATAACATATTTTTGAGTTTATAATTTATAAATATAGTTTATATGACAACGATTTTTTCATCACGAGCTTATAATTTATTTTACTAATTTATATTTTATTTTACTAATTTATGGTTTATTTTCCAAACACTA